TAGAACTACAATTTCTGTTAATGATGTGAAAGATGCCCTTATGTCCAAAGAATTGAAAATAAAGGTTTCTCTGGAAAAGGGTTCTGGTTCAGGTCTGTTTGCAGGTAGGGGAAGACCACAGGAGAGGGGTAACGGGAATGAGAGGTCGCGTTCAAAATCAAAATCCTCTAGCAAAGTTAAGTGTTATCTTTGCAAGGAGAAATGGCACGTTAAAAGGGATTGTCCACAAAAGAAGGGAAATACAAAAGTTGATTCTAGTAACAGTGGCAGCAGTGCTGTTGTGGTACAAGACAGTTCTGATGATGGGGACTTTGGTGAAGTTCTGACAGCGTGTAGTGCTAGTACCGCTGATTCCTGGATTATGGATACTGGTGCTTCTCACCATATGACGTTCTCTCGTGATCTACTCACTTCTTTTAAAGAGTGGAATGGAACGGTGAAGTTAGGTGATGATGGGGTTCTAGCCATAAAAGGGAGCGGGGTAGTGCAGATAAAATTGCATGACGGTACTGTCAGGAAATTTGACTGTTGGTATGTTCCTGAACTCAGAAAGAATTTGATTTCTCTTGGCACCTTAGCCAAGAATGGTTTAAAATATCATGGTGAAGGTGAGTGGGTGAAAGTCCTGAAAGATGCGCTGGTAATGATGAAGGGAAAACTGCAGCATGGAATTTATTTTCTACAAGGCAGTTCAGTGATGGGAACGGCGGCGGTATCCCAGTCCTTGGATAAACATGATGATAGAACAAATTTGTGGCACCGGCGATTAGGTCACATGAGTGAGCTAGGGTTTTCTGTGTTGAGCAAGCAGGGTTTATTTGGTGGGGATGTGATAGGTAAAATTCAATTCTGTGAGGCTTGTATAAAAGGGAAGCAACGCAGGGTGAGGTTTAGTACCGGTCATCACACTTCAAAAGAAATTCTGGAATATGTTCATTCAGATCTATGGGGTCCCTCTCCGGTGAAATTGCAGGGCGGGTGTTCTTACTTTGTCACTTTCATAGATGATTATTCGAGAAAAGTCTGGTTGTACTTTCTAAAGACTAAAGATGAGGTGTTTGGGAAGTTCAAGGAGTGGAAGACCATGGTTGAAAAACGGACGGGTAAACAAGTCAAGACTCTAAGAACTGATAATGGGTTGGAGTTCTGCAACGCTCCATTTGATGGTTTCTGCAAGAAAGAAGGTATAGTGAGGCACCGCACTGTACGACACACACCACAGCAAAATGGAGTTGCAGAGCGAATTAACCAAATCCTCATGGCGCGTGCTAGGTGTATGCGCATATTTGCTGGCTTGTCTAAGCAATTCCGGGCTGAAGCAGCAAACACTGCTAGCTATCTGGTTAATAGATCTCCATCAACTGCAATTGACTTAAAGACTCCTCAAGAGGTATGGTCCGGTAAACCCTCTGATTACTTTAATCTAAGAATATTCCTGCATACGCTCATGTGAATGATGGTAAGCTGGAGCCGAGGGCGGTAAAATGCATATTTCTAGGGTATGCAACAGGAGTAAAAGGTTATCGACTGTGGTGTACAGAAGGTAAAAATCCTGGTAAATTTCTTATTAGCAGAGATGTAACCTTTGATGAATTTGCTATGCTTGATCAGAGTAGAGGTTGTGAAAGTATTGCAGGTACAAAAGATTGTGGTGCTAACCAGAGGGTGGAGTTTGAGACTCCTGACAGAGTTGTGTTAGAGAAAAAACAGCAGGATAATACTATTGATCAATCCGATCAACCAGATCAGTCAAAACCTCAAGGGAAACCAGTTGAGGGGGAAGCTGATGACGCTGGTACTGGGGTTGAAGATTCCATAGCAGCAAGAAAGGGAAAGAGAAATATTCAGAAACCAGCTAGGTTTGCAGGATGTGTCAATATGTGTGACATGGATTCTGTTGCTTATGCACTAGCGGTTAGTGATGATCTTGGCTCTGATGAGCCAAAGACATATAAAGAAGGTGTGGCGACTAAAGATGCAGAAACCTGGATTATGACAATGAATGAAGAGATGCAGTCTCTTGAAAAGAACAAGACTTGGGATCTTGTTGCACTACTAAAAGGGGTGAAGCCAGTGGGATGCAAGTGGGTCTTTAAAAAAAATGAGGGAATTCCTGGTGTTGAACCTGCTAGGTTCAAGGCGAGACTGGTGGCAAAAGGGTTTTCACAGAAGGAAGGAATCGATTACCATGAAGTCTTTTCTCATGTGGTGAAACACAAAACCATTCGGATTCTTTTGGCAATGGTGGTGCTTTTGATCTGGAGCTGGAGCAGCTTGATGTAAAAACAGCATTCCTTCATGGTAATCTAGAAGAACAAATTTACATGTCTCAACCGGAGGGGTTCTACAGCTCTAAAGGGACCAGGTATGCTTGTTAAAGAAATCTTTGTATGGCTTGAAGCAGTCTCCGAGGCAATAGTACAAGAGATTTGACTCATTCATGGTGTCTAATGGTTATGCTCGTAATAAGTTTGATAACTGTGTTTACTCGAAGAAAGTTTCTACTGATTCCTTTGTGTATCTGCTATTGTATGGGGATGATATGTTAATTGCAGCTAAGAACATGGCTGTAATTAATGACTTGAAGACTCTACTAAAGGGTGAGTTTGAGATGAAAGATTTGGGTGCGGCAAAGAAAATACTTGGTATGGAGATCTGGCGTGATAGAAAAACAAGACGGTTATGGGTTTCTCAAGAAAAGTATATTGAGAAAGTTTTGCAGGCATTCTCTGTTGATCAGTCCAAACCGGTAAGTACCCCTTTGGCGGCACAGTTTAAACTTGATCGAAGCACTATACCGGCTACAAATGAAGAGGTTAGTTACATGAAGACGGTTCCATATTCAAGTGCAGTTGGAAGTCTTATGTATGCGATGGTATGTACGAAACCGGATCTCGCTTATGCGGTTAGTGTGGTGAGCAGGTTTATGGCTAATTCGGGTAAAGCTCACTGGGGAGCTGTAAAGTGGATCTTGCGATATTTGAAAGGAGCGTCTGATATTTGTCTGGTATATGATGATAAAGGCCATGGTGATGGTCTTGTTGGCTATGCAGACTCTGATTACGAGGGTGACTTGGTGAAACGAAGATCACTAACTTGTTTTATCTTCACTTTGTTTGGATGTGCAGTCAGTTAGAAGTCTACTTTACAACCTACGGTTGCATTGTCGACGACTGAGGCGGAATACATGTCAATGATTGAAGGTATTAAGGAGGGTATCTGGTTACATTGTCTGATGCAGAGTTTGGGTCTGAAGGTGGAGAAACCGGTGTTATTCTGTAATAGTCAAAGTGCTTTGAGTTTGGCTAAAAATCCAGTGTATCATGGGAGAACCAAACATATTGATGTAAAGTTGAATTTTATCCGTGATGTTCTGGAGGAAGACAAGTTTTCTATTCAGAAAATAGCTACAGAGCACAATCCAGCTGATATGTTGACAAAGGCGCTACCGACGGAGAAGTTTGAGCACTGCTTGAACTTGGTGAATATTCGTAGGAGGTAAAGCCCTCTCGGGGCATATGGCAGGAAGGAGATGACTGAGAGATACTAACGAACCTTTGGCGGTTGGAGAAACTTCAAGTCAAGGTGGAGATTGTTGAAACGTGACTTGGATTTAGCGGTCTACCCGACCCTAAACCAAAGCGAAAGGGCTGTTTCAATTGGCAGGGTTCCTTTTGGGCTTATCCTAATTGATAACAAATAGACTTACTGTTTAGGGTGTTTTGGGGTGCTTATATATAGACAACTATGGTTTTTAGTCGGATGACACATTGTAAATCTCTGAATCAGTATAATAAAATCTCTCCGGTTCCTGCCCGTGGACGTAGGTTGACACATCGTCACCGAACCACGTAAAACCTCTGTGTTCTTTATTTGCTTTCTTTCTCGTTTTCTCATAACACACGTCAATATTTTCCGTCGATTTGTTGACGGTGGGACAAAAAAAGATAAAGTTTGATTATATTGGGACAAAAAATAATTGAGTTTTGTTATATTGGGACTAAAATTGATAAAAAAATTTATATTTGGACAAAAAATGATGAGTTTTGTTATATTAGAACAAAAAAATATAAATTTTAATTATATTATGACCAAAATTGATAAAATTTTTATATTGAAATCAAAATTAATAAATTTTGGTTATATTGATACATAAATAAATTTTTCCTTTTAAATATTCTCCAAAATCAATATATTCATTATATTTTATGGATTAGTAATTATACTTTCTATGTAATTAATATATCAATTTATATATAATTTTTTTTCTCTCTCTAATGTTTGTTGGTATATTATACTCCCTCCGTTTCGGAATTAAATATTCATTTGCTTTTTGCACGTAGTTTTAAAAATATTAGTATTATATTGGGATATAGTAGGAATAAAGTAGAAATGACTAAAATAACTTTATTAGTACGTGTGATATAAAGGTAATGACATTTGTATAATATATTGTAAGTTGTAAGAGTATTTGTAATGTTAGGTAGATAGTACAGTTACTAGAAAAAAAAAGGAAAAAATGAATACTTTGTTATAGGATGGAGAGAATAATAAATTACTTCTAAAAAGGTAAAAAAAGAAAATACGTATAAATAAAAAAAATTACTCTCTCCCTCTCAAGTAATACGAGACAAAATAATTAAAAAATATATTAATAAAAATAATTATAAATTAAAATTAAAATAACTAAATAATTTAATTAAATTTTAAAAATTATAAAATATAAAATTTAAACGTATAATCATATTTTAAAAAGTAAAAAGATAAATAATGTAGAAAAGATAAAAATAAAAAATTAAAAAAAAATTAAATAGGAATAGAGTAAATTATAAGATCTTTTTTTTATATTTAAATAATAAGAAGAAATTAGCAAGCAACTGAGTGAGAGCGAACTGCCCTACTGTATAAAGTGAGAGACAGTTTATATGTGACAATGCACCCCGCCCCGCCCCCACCCTACCCTACCCCACCCCAAACCCCCACCCCCACCCTACCCAGCCATCCTCACTCTCTCTCTCTCCCTCTCTCCGTCTTCAATTCTCTCTCTCTAACAGTGGTTGGGTTGGGAAATCTCTGCTCACGCTCCCCGCATTTCCCCAGCCCAGCTCACCATTGCTAACTAAATTAAATATTGGATCAGCACCGAAATTGAGCTGTGCTCTTCCTCTTCCCTCTCCTTTCCTTCTTGGATCTGCCGAGCCTCATTTGGAAATTCCTTTTTACAGCTATGCGGTTATCCATGCTGTTTCCGCGCAACTTGAGTTACGCTGCCGAGATTCGAAGAAAAGCCTCTGGTTTGGGGTTTCAACCTCGCCATTCTCGCTGAATCCACTTGCCCAAGGTTGGGCTGTGTTGCATCTGCACTTCCAGGTAATTTTGGCAACTTTTCTTCCGCTTTAGCCTGGTTTTCTGTGTCTGTGTTTAATTTTTGAAGTTTCTTCTTCGAACTTACTGTGCTTGGAATTGGAACAAAATTAGATGATTTTAACTTGCAGATCTGGGCGAACTGATGATTTTGTGCTTTGTTGCATAAATTGGCGGAGATTTCTCAGTAATTTTTGTTAATGGGGAAGCCAATTGTCACTGCATTTTTGTTGCAGTTGCAGACAATCTGGAAATTTATTGCTGAGATTTTTTTCTGCAAATTTGCTTATCGGATAGTATTCTCTCTGCTTTATTGTTGAATTTTTTAATCTCAATGGTGTTTGTTGAAAAACACATTTCTCTCTAGGATTCTCTTTAGGAAAGTTTATCAGAGATTCTTCTTCCTTCTCTCTCTCTCTCTGCAACGGTGCCATTGGTTGGCTTGGAGTAGTCTTTCTTACTTTTGGATTTTTGAAGAACATATATATATATATACACATAGGCAGCTTTTCTCGCCTAATTGGAGAAAAAATGAAGTTTAGGTTTCTGGTTGGTGAGAAAGGTTGGATTAGGGAAGGAATTGAATTTGTGCATTAACTTATCGTTTTGAGCAAACACCATTTGCATCTTCTTCCTAGTTTTCAATTTCTTGTGAATCTCTTCTGCTGGTTTTTAGATTAATCAGTAGTTTCTTTGATTAGTTTCTTCACTTTCTAATCTGGTAATTGATCAGTAAATGATATTTACTTCGTCCTCTCCAATCTCCCACAGGAAAATCGGATATCGACATGAAACCGAGCTGGATCGGCGCCATTATTTTTTCCTTCGTCGTCATTGCATGTCTTCTTCCTCAGGCTCTCTGTGATTTGAACTCAGACAAACAAGCCCTACTGTCATTCGCGGCTGCCATCCACCATGGCCGGAAGCTCAACTGGAACTCGGCGACCCCTGTCTGCACTTCCTGGATCGGCATAAACTGTACTGACAATGGTAAACATGTGATTGGTGTGCGGCTTCCCGGGATCGGACTCGTTGGCTCGATTCCTCAGAACACTCTCGGATTGCTCGACTCTTTGATGGTTCTTAGCCTCCGAGCCAATCTCCTCAGCGGTAACTTGCCTCCGGATGTTCTATCCCTACCGTCACTCCGCTACCTTTTTCTGCAGCGCAACAACTTTTCCGGCGACATCCCTGTGTCTCTGTCGCCACAGCTCGCTGTTCTTGATCTCTCGGATAATTCGCTGACCGGATCCATTCCGCTAACGATATGGAACTTGACGCAGCTCACTGCATTGACGCTCAACAACAATTCGCTTTCCGGATCGATTCCCGACTTAGGTGTCACGAGCATCAGACGATTCAACGTCAGCTACAACCGTCTTAACGGCACTATCCCCGCGACTCTCCGGAAGTTCCCCGGCTCATCGTTCACCGGAAATCTTCTCTGTGGCCAGCCTCTGACTCCTTGTTCGGGTGCCATCAGTCCTTCCCCTTCTCCCAGTCCTGTCGTCCCTCCGTCGACGGCGCCGAAGACAGAAAGCTCGAAAAAGAAACTATCTTTGGGCGCCATCATTGCCATTGCAGTCGGAGGCGCCGTGCTGCTATTTCTCCTACTTCTAATACTGATCTTATGCTGCTATAAGAAACGAGCGAGCGACGACGGAGTCGCTGCTGCGCCGAAATCCAAGCCGTCTGTTGTCGGGAGAACGGAGAAGCCCGGGAAAGAGTTCGGGAGCGGAGTGCAAGAGCCTGATAAAAACAAGCTCGTTTTCTTCGAAGGAAGTTCTTACAACTTCGATCTCGAGGATCTACTTAGAGCCTCCGCCGAGGTGTTAGGAAAAGGCAGCTTCGGGACGGGGTACAAGGCTGTCTTGGAGGAGTCGACAACGGTTGTCGTGAAAAGGCTGAAGGAGGTTATCGTTGGGAAGAAAGAATTCGAGCAGCAAATGGAAGTCGTCGGTAGAGTCGGACGGCACCCGAATGTCGTACCGTTACGCGCTTATTACTACTCCAAGGACGAAAAGCTCCTCGTCTACGATTACTACCCGAACGGAAGCTTAGCCGCCATGTTGCACGGTAATTAACTAACCGAAACTCTTCGATCATAATTTTTTTTTTTTTCTCGAACTAAAAATCGGATCGATTTATTGCAGGAAACAAGGCGTCGTCGGGAAGACCGTCTCTCGATTGGGAATCGAGAGTCAAAATCTCGCTCGCTGCCGCCAGAGGGATCGCGCATCTCCACTCGACGGGGGGGCCGAGATTCTCGCACGGAAACATCAAGTCGTCGAACGTCCTCCTCAGCCAAGAATTCGACGCGCGTGTATCCGACTACGGCCTGGCAGCTCTGATGAACTATCCGGCGACGTCGCGGCATGTGGGGTACCGGGCGCCGGAGGTGATCGAGACTAAGAAACATACGCAGAAATCGGACGTGTACAGCTTCGGGGTGATGCTGCTGGAGATGCTGACAGGGAAGCAGCCGATCCAGTCGCCGGGGCGCGACGAGATCGTGGATCTGCCGAGATGGGTGCAGTCGGTGGTGCGGGAGGAGTGGACGGCTGAGGTGTTCGACGTGGAGCTGATGAGATTCCAGAACATCGAGGAGGAGATGGTGCAGATGCTGCAGATAGGGATGGCGTGCGTCGCGAAGGTTCCGGACGTCCGGCCGAGCATGGAGGACGTGGTTCGGATGATCGAGGAGGTCCGGCAGTCGGACTCGGAGAACCGGCCGTCGTCGGAGGAGAACAACAACAAGTCGACGACGACGCCTTGATCTTGATCTGATCTGAAAGGTAAAATTGTTAAGATTATGATTATGGTTATGATTCTTGTTCCAATTGGATTTTTCTTCTTCTTCTTCTTCTTCATTGTTAATTAGTTACATGTCTAAATGTTGTGTAGATTTATTTGGTGTGTGTTGGAGATGAGATGGGCTTTTTTTAGGTTGTTAATGTTATGTGATGATGGATATGGATGTGTTGATTGATTGATTTATTTGTGACTTTAGGTTTGTGCCTTTGTTTCTGTAATTTGTTACCCTAAACCAATCTCTAATTTGTATCTTCCATTATCGGCTTAGTTTGCAGAATATTAGTTTGCAGAATATTAGATTAAATGTGGCTGAGAGTTTATCCGATTCGCACTTGCGAGTAGCTGCTGCAGTTCTCAAACGTCATTAAAAAAAAAAAAAAAAAAAGCTGGATTAAGTTTGAATTTTAGTGTGTATGTTTAGTACTTCCTCCGTCCTACTACTCTGCATGTCCGGATTCCTGTAAATATCAGAATTTAAGTTACATAATTAAGAATATATTAATGAAAATAATTATAAATTAAAATTAAAATAACTATTTAATTTAATTATAATTAAGGGTAAACTGTTTTTTTTCCGCAACTGGATTCCTTTATCATTTTAGTCCCGTAAGTGGAGTATGTCGCAAACTAGTCTCATAAGTGAAAAATTTTCGCTGTTTTAGTCCTCCGGCGTCGGAGACGCCCGCATGGCTCGCCGGAGGTCAGCAAAAATCTTTCACTTATGGGACTAGTTTGCGACACACTCCACTTACAGGACTAAAGTGATAAGGGGGTCCAGTTACGGGACTAAAAAAACAGTTTACCCTTGTAATTAAAAATAAATTAAATTGCAAAAATACTTTCATTAGTGTCTTATAATATTAATATTTATAGAGAAGACATTTGTACAAAAAAAAACTATAAAAATATAAGAATATTTTTAACATTAAATATAATGACATAGAAAGGAATACGATAATAGTATTGATAATATAAAAAAATAATATTAGGTATTAAATACTCCCTCCGTCAAATTAGAAAATATACATATTTCTATTTTGGGACGTCCAATTACAAAGTAACTATTTCATTAAATATCTTATTTTTTTTACAAATACCCCTACTTTACATTACATCGTTACTTTTATACTAAAAACGTAAGAGCAAAAATGTCATTACACTATTTTTACCTACCAACTATAATTAAAATACTATTATTTCTTAAAGTCCGTGCTAAAAATAAATGTATATTTTTTGCTTGGATGGATGGAGTATTAACTTTGTAAGAAAACATATACTCCATCCGTCCCATAACAAACTATCTATTTTTTTTATTTTAATCCGTCCCATAACAAACTATTTATTTTTTTATTTTAGTTCGTCCCATAACAAAATATCCATTTCATTTTTTTAGTAATTGTACTATCTACCTAACATTACAAATACTCTTACAACTTACAATATATTACACAAATGTCATTACTTTTATATCATACAATATTAATAAGGTTATTTTAGTCATTTCTACTACATCATAATATAATACTAATATTTCTAAAATCCCATGAAAAAATAAATATATAGAGGGAGGGAATATTTAAAATTGTCGGTAAACTATCATGTAAAGAATTGCTGATGATGATTAATGCAATTCATGGAGTATTGAATTAACATTTTCTCACTTAATTCATACAACAAAAATCTCCACACCAATTCAATAAACATTTTATACATATATTAATTTATTACTGGTATGAGCAGCAAGAAGACAGTACAACAGCACCACAGGTAAAATCAGGATTTCAAACGAGGAGGTTAAAATTTAGGATTAACAGTTATACATATATTAAGATATAATTTATTTACTGTTAGATAGTTATATTTTGTTGTCATTTTTTTAAAACAATGTAAAATAGCTTTTATATTAATCTTTGAAATCTAACTTGATAAAACATAGGATTTCTAATATTCAGCACAAAAATTCTTTACTAAAACAAAAATCAAAGATAATTTTCAAAAATTTCATCCAATTGTCATCCACTAAAGATTCTTTCAATTCATCCTTCAATACTATAATTAAATATACGATATTATCCGCGGCTGCGGGTTTTTACGTCATTCAAGATAAAAAAAAGATACGATATTACCAATATCATGATTTTTTTTTTGCAAGGCAGGACAACGCACTTGTTTTCGCCAATAATGTGAACATTAAATGAATAATGAAAATAAATTCAAGACTCAACATTTTATCAATCAAACCCGTATTAATATCTCGACTTCTTTGATTAATGTCATCCTCAACAATAACTTCAAGAACATTTATAATTGCATCTCACATGTCTAAAATACGATTGATTATCCTATAATAAGAGCCTCAACGAGTATCACTTAACTAAACTAAACCCGATTTTATTTTTTGTCTTTTCATATATATCAATTTCACCACTCTCTAGTGTTGTAAAAGAGCATCATGATATTTTTTTCGAAGAACATCTCTTTGTTTACACAAAGCTCCAACAAGATTCACAATCATAATTTAATGATAAAAAAAAATTACTCATCAATGCATGATTTTTTTTAAGCTGATATAATTACTAACTGAAATCGGTGTGCAAAGCAAAGAACATAATGTGCTTGGTGATTTTCATTTAAAATAAGTGCCTTCAAACCATTGAACTCACCATACGCATTTAAAGCTCCGTTATAACTTTGACCTCTAAGTTTTTTAAGTGATAGATCGTATTTTGCAAAGAAAACGTTAGTGGATTTTTTAAGAAAAACTTTGAAAAAGTATGCTTAACATGCACAATTCCAAGAAATTATTCAACCACTTCTCTTTTGTTATTCATAAATTACAAAACTGTGGGCATTTAGTCTTTTACCAAGTTGTCTTGAACTTCATCAATTAAAAAAAAAAAAAACACTTATCTCTAATGTTATTAAAGATAACTTTTCTCACATTTGTTGCACAGACATTAATAATTTCTTTTGAGTCTTAGAAGAAGTCAACTAATTGTTTCCCGAAGTATTTGAATTCATCACTTTTTTTCACTTCATTCATATCACAATACCATTTCAAAAGTGTAAGAAACTTATCATGCCTACAAAAAGCCAAATCTTGCTGTAAAAGAAAGCGAATAACATCTACGATTGTTGTTAATCAAATATGGTAATAAATTTTCATCTCCTTGCTTTTTTGTGCTAATACATACTCAATATTATGGCGTTGATCTTGAAATAACAAACGTTGAATTTTAGCATAACGATGTGCTCTCGTTGAAGGTCTTTCATGTTCTTTGATTTTTTCTATGATTTTTTCCAATTCCTAAAACCAAATTAAGTAAAAGTAATATCCCTGCAATGTTTGTGACCTATATTAAACAAGTAGCATATAAAATAAAATGTGACATCTTTTATGCTATATTCAAGCTTTATATTGATTAAACCATACTGACTGAAATTTTCTCATAATTTTATCAAATAAAATCTTTGGAAATTATGATCATGTGGTTAACAATGCCCTTTGGCAAAATGTTGTTTTCTTAATTCATTTATAACATCAATATAATAGCTATAAATTGATTTGCGGTGATTCTGGATTGCCAACATCGCTTTTTAAAAATTTTATTTCTATTTGTTTTCTTTTAGCATATTCATTCTCATAGAAAATAATTTGAATAGCAAGCATATAACTTGATATGGGTAAAGATGTACTAAAAGCCGACGAAGTTGGCTACTTTGATTTAATAACAAATTTATTGATAAATGATAAACACATGTAACAAAAAATTATACAAAATATTTTTGAAAGTGTTGCACGGCGGATTTTTATTTTATTTTGTTTTGGATTATATTTTTTCTATTATATAAATATTATAAATTTTCATTTTTATTTTATTTTGTTTTGAATTATATTTTTTCTATTATATAAGTATTATAATTTTTTATATAATAGTAATACAAAATATATTATAATTTATTTTTATTAAGGGGTTATTGTCTCCCGTATGGTTTTGCCTTTAGACAATAAATGTACACACATAGTAAATACCTAAATATAACGATGTATATTATATATTTTGAAAATATGAAAGCAGCATATAATATTCATAAACTCATCACATAATCTACATTGGATAAGCACATTTTCGTCCATTTAATAAGCAACAAATGTTAGCCCCGGAAGGGATGGCCTGATGGTGTGGTGTTAGATTTGTGACTGTGAAGTCATGGATTCAAACCCCCGACGGCTCAGGTCACCTGCTACACTTGATTCGTCTTAACGTGACTTGCCTGTGGAATCTAGTTTAGCGTAAGTCGAAAGCTCCGAAATTGTAATATTTCATTTGATTGAGTTGGGTCAAACCTATAATAATTCATTTCGAAATTTTTGATAGAAAAAACTTTTAACATGGGGCTTTTTATTTCCACTTTTTGTCAATCAAGGCCTTTTCTACTGACCAAATATGCCTAACAAATAAAAATTATGTGGCTGGAATTATCAATGGGATAATAATGGAGTTGATGATGTATATATATAATAACACAAATAACGATGACAACAACATAGACTCAAATGATATCGTACCCCTTTCTGTGTTCAATGATTGGGTAACCTGTTTTTTTAGTCCCGTAATTGGACTTTCTTATCATTTTTGTCTCGTAATTGGAGCCTGTCGCAAACTAATTTTATAAGTGAAAAAATTTCGTTGTTTTAGTCATTCGGCACCGGAGACGCCCGCGTGGCTTGCCGGAAGCCACGTGTCCGCCCGGTGTCCCGCCAGGTTAGTGACACCTGGCGAACTCGTGAATTTTATTTTATTTTTCATTTTTTTTAATTGTTTTAATTATTTTAATTTTTTTTAACATTAGAACAAATAAAAAAATTAAAAAAAAGAAATAAAATAAAAAAAATTATAAAATATAAAATCCCCGTGTCCGCCAAGTGTCGTTGACCTGGCAGACACGTGGCCTTCGGCGAGCCACGCGGGCGTCTCCGGTGCCGGAGAACTAAAATAACGAAAAATTTTCACTTATGAAACTAGTTTGCGACATATTCCACTTACGGGACTAAAATGATAAGGGGGTCCAGTTACAGGACTAAAAAAAAACAGTTTACCCCAAACTATACAATAAAATTTTTACAATGACTAAGAACTTGCATTTTGAACTGATGGTCTTTGGTAAGCGATACCATTTTGTTGAGATATTTTAGATATTCAATTTTATATTTAATAGATTTATGTCTAAATTTGATCTTATTCATAGATTATATTACTTATATTTGAGTCTATCGAGTCTATTTTGTATTGTCTATATATAAGCTCCTTCTTTTGATATCAATAAAATAATCTCATTATTTTTCCCCAAAATTTCTAACATGGTATCAAACCCTATTTTTCTCATGCCGTAGATATAGCCTACCAACCCGTGTTTCTCCGGGTACATTTAACCTGGATTGTACCCGAAGGTCTTGTGATTTTGAGATCATGCTTTTGCAAGTTGTCTTTTTGCAAATCTGTCTCGTTTCGTATCTGATCTGTCATCTGTCCGCTGCTTGTCTATTGCCTATGTGCAATCTGAAATCTTCGCTGCTTGTCTGTTGCTTACGAGCGATCTGAAACGATTTGCCATATGTCTATTGTCTGTCTGTTACTGCGTGCGATCTGCCATCTGTTGCTGCGTGCGATATGCCATTTGTTGTTGCCTGTCTGTTGCCTGCGCGCGATCTGCCATCTTTCGTTGCTTATTTGTTGCCGGAAGTCTGTCTATGATCTGCCATCTATCCGCTGCTTGTCTGTTGCCTGCATGAGATCTGATCTGTCCAATGTTTGCGATTTGTTTGTTTTCGGCTCCGGTAGTCATATGGTTTTCGACTCCGGTGGAGAGTCATCTCGTTTTTCGGCTCCGGTGGAGTCATCTCGTTTTCGGCTCCAGTGGAGTCATCTCGTTTTCGCTTCCGGTGGAGTTATGTGGTTTTCGGCTCCAATGGAGTCATGTGGTTTTCGGCTCCGGTGGAGTCATCTCGTTTTTTGCTCCGGTGAAACCATGTCATTTTCGGCGGCTCCGGTGGAGTCACGTCGTTTTCGGCTCCGGTGGAGTCATCTCTTTTTCGACTCCGGTGGAGTCATCTCATTTTCGGCTCCGGTGGAGAGTCATCTCGTGTTCGGCTTCGGTGGAGTCATGTCGTTTTCGGCTCCGATGGAGAGTCATCTCGTTTTTCGACTCCGGTGGAGTCATCTCGTTTTCGGCTCCGGTGGAGTCATCTCATTTCGGCTTCGGTGGAGTCATGTCATGTCGTTTTAGGCTCCGGTTGAGTCATGTCATGTCGTTTTAGGCTCCGGTGGAGTCATCTCGTTTTCGGCTCCGGTGGAGTAATTTCATTTTCGGCTCTGGTAGAGTTGGCTCCGGTGGAGAGTCATCTCGTTTTTTGCTCCGGTGGATGTAGAGTCAACTACTAATTTTATTTATATTTTCGTTTTGCGTATATATTCAAATTTCTTTTCAAACTCAAGTTGGTTTCTGTTATACCACTTGAGTTTGAAGGGATGTTGAAATATTTTAGATATTCAGTTTTAGATTTAATAGATTTATGTCTAAATTTGATCTTATTCATAGATTAGATTACTTAGATTTGAGTCTATCGAGTCTATTTTATATTTGCTTATATATAGACTCCTTCATTTGATATCAATAACACAATCCCATTATTTTTCTCCAAAATTTCTAACACATTTAGTGATATATTTTGTTATATTACGATATTATGATATTTGATGTTGTCCTTGTTTTTAGTCTAAGGATAATTTATTGTATTGTGTATAGTTGATCAGGATATTATATTATAGAAGAAAGGATGAACTTTGATATTTTAACTGTTTGTGGTGAATGACAGTTGTGTATAAATGACAGTTGTGTATAAATTTTGTGTGGTCTAAGTTTTTGTATATAAGTTTTAATAAATATTTAATATGCATGATAAATGGGCAATGGAATTTTATTTCATAAAACGCTTCTAGAATTTGAATGCAATACTCCTCCGTATTAATACAATAATTTTGTTTATCACTTTTGTCCGTTCTAAAATAATAGTTTTATTTCCATAAATACTCATATCACCGTAAAATTATTCCTATATTTTTATTATTATTACACAAATAACACTATTTTTTACACTAATACACTCACAAGGGTAAATAAATTTTTTACTCATACTTTTTTACAATTATCAATTTAATATCAATATTCCTTAAATCTCGTATCCAACTCAAATAAAACTATAGTTTTGAGACGAATGTGTATTATTTTTAGTAATTAATAATAATAATAATAATAATAATAATAATAATAAATATTTGAAGTGATTCAATCATTGTTCCGGAATATGGTTTGTGGGTTCAACAGCTTCTGAAGTTCTGAAACTATTGAACCCAATAAAGTAATTCGAAAATAGCTTCGGAAATTATGAAGTTTCTTAAATAATCTCAAAAACTCCATGGCTATTTAAGATAATTTCGGAAACTCCGAAGCTTAGTTTGAAAGGCAACGAGCTTTTTTTTTTTTTTTTTTTTTCTACGTATCGATTTTAAAGCAAAATCAAAAGTTAAAAAAATTACCTTAAAACTGTTTAAATTCCAAACAAATTTTCAAAGGCAAATTGACAAATGTCTGATAGTGAAATAAAAATAAAAGCACAAATAAACATAATTTCAATCGAGAACACGCGAGATATTAATTATTATACTTCCTCCGTCCCATATTTATATATTTATTTACTTTTTGTACGAAATTTTAGAAATATTATTATTATATTGGAATATAGTAGAAATAAAAATACTAAATTGCCTTTCTTAGTATTGTATGATATAAAAGTAATGACATTTGTATAATATATTGTAAATTGGAAGAATATTTGTAATGTTAAATAGACAGTACAGTTACTTAAAAAGAAAATTGATTCTTTGTTATGAGACGGACGAAAATAGAAAAATTGATAGATTGTTAAGGACGGAGAGAGTATAATTTTATCCAAATCTTAAAAATCAAATCAAACACATATTATTTATTTTTTCACATCAACGTCTATTTATATCACATCATACAACTATTACAATTTAAAATTTTTACAATTCAAAATTCTAAATCAAAATCCAAACTCCCAAGAGAACACATCCAAAGTTATTAATTAAAAATAAAATGATGGTATGGGAAGCGGTGGGCTTTAATATGAAATTGGGTTTTAACGTAATGTGATGAAAGCGTTGATTGTACGCCGTTGGCCGTTACGACGAACTTTCCAGAATATTGTGTGGCGCCCCGCAAACGCAAACTATTTTTAATATATATATCTATTTTGATAGAAAGGTATCAAATACCTCTTTCCATATATCGCTCTCTCCTTCCCTATCTTCTCTCCTTCCGAATTCTCATCTCCTTCTCCGCGTTTAATCAGGTACGCACTTCCCTCTCTTTTGCTGTTTCTCGGTCCTTTGAATAGATGCTCCGATGCGATTTTAATTTTGGTGAAAGGATTTGGTTATTTATTGTTCGGATGGATGGTGTTTTTGTTTAATTTGTTCATGATTTTGTCGAATTTTTATGGCTTAGGGTTTTGGTTTTTCACGTTGAATATAAAGCGAGCTTTAATTAATGGCGTCGAAGAGGATACTGAAGGAGCTCAAGGACTTGCAGAAGGATCCTCCGACGTCGTGCAGCGCCGGTATATATATTTCTTCGATTTATGTTGCCATGGTGATTGATTCTTAAGAAATTTTCTAGAATTGGATTATGATTTTTTTTTTTTTGTTTAATTTTGTGATGAATGCTTGGTTTGATTTGGATTGTTTTGTGTTCCATTGATTGAAATTCGCAACAGTTGTTAATTCTAATAGTTCATTTTCCATTATCTATGTATCCATTCACAGAGCAACTTATTTGAAGCTTTTGAATCTAGAAATTAATAATAATAATAATAATCAATTTCCTATTAACTAAATAAGTTATCATTTTTGTTTAAATTACATAATAATAATAATAATAATAATAATAATAAGAATAATAATGTAATTTAATTTAATTTTATTAGGTCCGGTTGGAGAAGATATGTTTTACTGGCAGGCGACAATCATGGGTCCTTCTGACAGTCCATATGCTGGAGGTGTATTTTTAGTTTCAATATATTTCCCCCCTGATTACCCTTTTAAACCCCCCAAGGTATGTATCATTTATTCATTCATTTCATTTCATTACTCTTTTCTTTTTATGCTTCTAAATTACATACTCCCTCCATTATATAATACTTCGTCCGTTCTATCCCATAACAAAGTATCTATTTTTCTATTTTAGTTAGTTTAATAATAAAGTATTCATTTCTTTTTTTAGTAACTGTACTGTCTACCTAATATTACAGATACCCTTACAACTTACAATATATTACACAAATGTCATTACTTTTATATCACACATACTAATAAGATTATTTTAGTCATTTCTACTTTATTCCTACTATATCCCAATATAATACTGATATTTCTAAAATTACGTTCATAAAGCAAATGGATACTTACTTATGGGACGGAGGGAGTAATATATTTACTTTAACATAAAGTTTAATAAAAATTATATTTTAATTGTAGTTAATAAATAAATATTTACTTTTTGCGTAATTGTATTAAATATTAAAAATTATTCTTATATTTGTATATATATTTATAAATGTCATTATATTAATATTATAAGTCACTAATAGAAGTATTTTGTTATTTTTCTTTTGTACTGCGTTTTGATATAATAAATAATATTGAAAAATCAAACAAAAACAAAAAGTAAATGTGACCCTTAAAATCGGACCGATGTAAGTTACTGATAGTTTTGTATGTAAAAGTTATTTTACTTATATGATGTGTAAAATTATTGCCATAGATATTTATGTAAATAATTATAAATATAAGAGTATTTGTAATATGTATTGAAGTCTATTCTTAGTAAAAAGAAAATAGATATTTTTTTTCTTAAACACTAAAAAATAGCAAAAAATGTATACTTATCCAGAGAGAAGACTATATAATATTGTGTTCTTGTGGTTCCGACTTTAGGTGTTTAGTCGAGCATATGTATGTTTATTTGACCAAATCAATATATATAATAAAGATAAATAACATATGTTTCTAGGTAGCACATCATAGAACACATCATATGTCGTGTTATATCAGAATATATGTTCAGTTAAAAATATATTATTATGTGTAGTATATATTGTCTATCTTTATTATATATATATATATACATATTAATTAGGTTAAATTAACACCTATTGATTTTACTTGATCAACAAAAGATTTGAATTATATTATTTTATCAAATATGATTATATTTACTATGTATTATTATTATTATTATTATTATTATTATTATTATTATTATTATTATTATTATACTCGATTATAATAAAGTAAATAAGACATAATAGTAGCATAATGAATGATTATTAATTTTATATTTTTTTTGTAGGTATGATCAAATAATATTAAGGGTGTGTTTCTTTATAGGGATTTTAGGAAAATTTGGGTTTGAATTTAGTTTTTATTTGAACTTTGAGGTCAGTTTGACTTTATATGCTTCTTTTGTGTTTAGATTTGGGTTGAATTTAGAGAGTTTTGATGTGTATTGATTTGATGGTAATAAATATAATAATATAAAGTGTATTAATATGTATAATTTGATTATAAATTTATATTATATATACATGTATATTTCTATATTTTTATTTATTTTTATTATAAAAAAATTTATTCTCTACGATATGACATATATATATTGCATATATTTTATTAAATTATAATTATTATAATTTTTTATATTTATAATTAAAAAAAAAAAAGAAAAGAAAAAAAACAGACGCTGACAGCCGTTAACGTTTGTCCCCCAAACCGCTCCAGTCCAATTTTGGGTTGATTACTGTGCAAATACCGGAAAAACATAGCCTAAGTTACGGAGTATTATAAACATTAAAATACTATTTTGGTTTTCCTTAAAAGTTAATTTATTATTAATTATATTATATATATTTAAAATAATATATATTATAATTGAATTTCAGAAAGCAAACACATCCCAATTGAATCACTTTGCATTATATTTATGATGCCATGCCTTCTACAAATTGTACTTTGGAAAATGTTTATTTGTTAAATCTATACTTAATTGATTGCGCAATATTATTCTACAAGGAAAGGGGTTCGTGTGGTTTGAAATTAATTTAAATTTTTGTTTAAGTATTTATTTAGATTGGTTTTGGACGTTCCAGGTTTCATTTAAAACAAAAGTGTTCCATCCTAACATCAATAGCAATGGAAGCATCTGCCTTGATATCCTCAAGGAGCAGTGGAGCCCTGCATTGACAATATCCAAGGTATTATGTACATCTAGATATACATATGGTTTCTGTTGAGATATGCTTATTTTATACTTCTTATTTTTATAATTAATATTTTCAGTTTTCATAAAATATTTTTGCATTTTATGGGAGTCTAGTTTTCTCTCGGAGTAAACACAACCTACTAATCTACGTTTCTCTGGATGCATTTAATTTGGAATGTACCTGGAGATTTTTGCAAATTTGAAAATTTTGCTATAGTTTTTAATTTTTCAGCTTCCGTAAATTATTGTTGAAACCCTAGCAGCCGTCACTGTTCGTCGTCAACCGTTGTGATTCGGTTAATACCGCCGGCACCATTGGATCTGCCTTGTCATCGCCGGCCGAACCCCAAAATTTCGATGCCCGTCCGCTGCGCATCCTCGGCTTACGCGCCGCCGACGCAAATTGCGACGGAAATCGCTTTTCCGCCGCTGTCTTCCAGTCATGCATGGCAGCGCATCTGACCATCTCTGTCTGCCATTTTCCAGCCGATGCCTCCTACTTTGATTTTCGATATCATGGTGTGGTTGGTTTTATCATTTGAGTAGATTTTATTTTGCTACCGTTATTGGTCTTTTGATTTTGAATTTTCGTCTGAGTTTGACATTTGATCGTTTATTATGATTTAGTACAAAGAGCTGTTTCCGATTACATTGAGAGTCCCTTCGTTTTCCCAACTTCGGTGAGAGTTTTGTATTTTCGACTCCGGTGAGAGTCCTGTCATTTTCTAGTTTTGTATTTTTGGGTTCTGGTGAGAATTTCGTATTTTATGGCTCTGGTGAAAGTTCGGTTTTTTTTTCCAGTTCCGTGTTTATCGGCTTTGGTGAGAGTTTCGTATTTTTCAAATCTATATTTTCCGGCTCTAGTGAGAGTTCATATTTTTCAATTCCGTGTTTTCCAACTCTTGTGAGACTTCCGTGTTTTTCAGTTTCATATTTTTTGGCTTGAGAGTTCCGTAGCTTTCGACTCTAGTGAAAGTTCCGTGTTTCCCATTCTAATTCAATTAAGGACACTGCTTCTAACTCTGGCACGATGGACGATTATGGTTATGTCATTTTCTATCTCTCATTGCAAACTCAAGTTGGTTTATATTACACCATTTGAACTTGAAGAAGATGTTGGAATATTTTAAATATTTAATTTTAGATTTAATAGATTTAGATTTAGATTTGATTCTATCAATTTTTTTTTTATTACCTATAATTAATATAATACAATTTTTCAGTTTTCATAAATTATTTTACGAAAGATACAATATATTAACCAACTTTTTTTTGGGTACAGATTGAATGTCCAGATAGCATCAATCTTTAGTATAGATAACACTGTCCTTTATGAATTAAGAGTCTATGCTATTTATTTATTTTTTAAGTTGATGCTTAGAGAAGTATGTTTAGTGTTCTATATAACTATGTTTATGTTCATATTGTATTCTATACAAGTGCTTTAAGGAAGTGAGTTTGGTGCTCTATATATTATACTTTATATTGTGTTATTAGTTTCCAAATAATATCAATTCAAGAGTTCATAAAACATTCATAAAAATTTCCGAAAGTACCGATCAAAGAGTCCAGAAAATCAGTTTTTGAATATAATATATGTTATTTGGACTTCCAATCGCTGTTATCTGAACTATTGAATAGTACTTTATGAAGTTTTGAACAGAACAATGTTGTCTGAGAAAATCAGCACGGTACTGATTTTTTTTAACTCAACATTGTAACCATTATCATATATATATATATTGTCAGTGATTACCAACATTGTGGAATTCCATCTTGGAAGTTTTAGAATGAATGAATTATCTCCGTACAAACTATATATGGTTTTTCTTGTGTTGGCTTAAAATAACTGAAAATTTACGATACGATATATGATCATTTGATTCAATTCAATTTGATTCGATTGGATTAGGTGCTGCTGTCCATTTGCTCGTTGTTGACGGATCCGAACCCGGATGATCCTCTGGTCCCGGAGATCGCACATATGTATAAAACAGACACAGCCAAATATGAGGCTACTGCACGCAGCTGGACGCAAAAATACGCTATGGGATAGGATAGATCAGTGGTACGTTCTAATGTTATTGTTAATTCTAATACTAGTTGTAAGTGTAATTGTTTTGTTTGGATTTTGTAATAGTAGTTTTAATTTATGTGATTTGATATAATTAGTACTTATACTATTCTTTTGAAAAAAATACATATATATTGTTTTTTATTATTAATAATAAAAATCTAAACATTATTTTTTGGTGCTATTAATCAATACTTAATTTTTTTTATTTAAAATATTATATAAAGATTTTATTTTTACAACGTTATCATTAATGCTATTAATTAAATAAATATTTCAATTCCGTAAGAGATAACTTGATGGTGTAGGGGTTGAAACTTTAATTCTAAAATACTTTATAATTTTATATGTTAAAATGATTAGAATTATGCTTTTTAGTACAACTTTCATGTCCGCGATTTAATTCATTGTTTTGCAAAATAGAAAAGGAGATATTTGGTTCATTATTTATGCAGCAATATAAAATTAATTTATTGCAATTCAGTTACAATTTGAACCCAATATATGTCACGGACAATATACATCACTAAGAGCATATGAACTTGTGAACCGTGAGGTCATGGATTTAAACTCCGACGCATCCATGTTTACCTGTCACACATGGTTCGTTTAGCGTAACTTACCTTGTCAGACCTAGTTTGCAAGATATTATGATCGACCGGAGGTTTACCCAGCGAGTTCCCATGTCAGAGCATATGAATGTTAACAAAAAATATATAAAAACATAATTTCCAACGGTGAATGGACTTTCAAACATTTGAATTAATGCGAACTCTTCTGAAAAATCGAAATTTCAAACCGATTTCTGTATCATTTTTTCTTCTCAATTTACAATAATTTTCGGTAATTATATTGCACCAAAAGAGAAAGAAAATATGTAAACACTACAAAAAATTTACAATTTATTTACGAAAAATACTCACGGAATTGATTCTGTGAGTAATTGCAGATGAATATTTACCGAATTACTCACATAATCTATTCCCTGAATAATTACTCACATAATACAGACGGAATTACTGACGCAATTTCATTTGTGAATAATTCATTAAAAAAAAAAAATTTTGAAATTCACTTGCGGTATTACTCATAAAATTAAATTTTCGTGAGTAATTACTAAAAAAATAAAATCCTACCCGTTTTCCTTTTCCACAACCACGGCGACACACAATCTGGTCAATTGGTGAAAAACCCTGCCCCTTTTCCTTTTCCACAACGGCTGCGACTTCCACAACGGCGGCAACTTCTTCTAGGTAAATCTCTATCTTTAAAGATCTAAATGATGGCTTATACGGATGTGTGAAGTTATCTGATTTAAGGCACTATTAGTTTGTTTGTTGGTCCTTATTAATGTTGTATTTTTCGAAAAAAATTGGCTGCTGCTAATGACATTCATGGTTCAAAACTTCAATATTCGATATTCGATTAGTATATCCTAAACTAATATGGAGTACTTGAATGCACTAAATGGAGCCTCGAATCACTTCTATAGCTGATCAACACACCAGTTTGCTTCGTAGTTTACATATAGTAAGTTTCTGTAATTTGTTTTAGTGATTCATTGTTTTCTCATTCCCTTTTACTATGAACTGAAGAGTATGTAATCTATATAATAAGTTTCTTTAAATTCCTTAGCATGCTTGTCCTGTTTTTTTATCTATTTACATATTCGTTACTTACTTTGCTTGTTTAAAGTGAAAATGTTTCATTTAAGTTATGATGTGTTTGTATCTTGTAGTAAGCATTGTAGTTTTTATTTTTCTCCATGAAGATGTTTTGAAGCTCATTTTTAGTTCCTTTTTTGTCATCTGCAGATAGATCTTTGTAATAAAGTTTCACTTGAGAAGCTGTTTGCTTCTAAAAAGTAAGTTTTTGTTACTTCTGTATGAAAGTTCTCAAGTCTCTACCTTACACTACATTTGTTATCTCTCTTCTTGCTAGATATTTTGGAATTCCTGAAAAAGAAAGCTAACTAGTTTAGTTTCTTGCTCTAGTTGTTTGAATGCATGACTATGGGAAGAGAGATTTCATATTTAGAACACAATTTCTGACCTTGCATTGGAGATGTTTATGCTTAATTTGAGCACTATTAATATGGTTAAAATTGTAAAAAATACAAATTGCCAATGATTCAAATTTGCAAAACCTCATGACAAAGTGAGTCAGTATTGATTTGTTTATTTCTTCTTTCCTTCCTACACAGATGATAACCTCTAAAATTTATGTCAAGAGTGTTAGCATTCCCATTGAAATGATCTATTTGTTACCTTTTTTTTTACTGACAGTAATTTGTATCTATATATGTAAGCTTTTCTAGCAAGTACTGTTTGTATCTATATATGTAAGCTTTTCCAGCAAGTACTGCTATTCTTAGTATTTAATTTAATGGTTTCTAAGAATCTCAGAGTATCTATGGCACCAACCAAGCAGCAAAGTACCCACTTGGGTAGTTTTTATTTCACTTATCACTTACATGAGATTGTTCTTTATGGTATTCATGTTTAATTGTGTTTGAAGTTAACATCTCTGTTCTTGTTCATTATGTCCTATACTTGTTTTGTTACTAATTATTATACACTCTGGTTTATCTACCTTATTGAAATAGGATTTCTTTGGCTATGCACTGGGGATGACTTTAGTTTGTGATAATTGTCGCCGGCAAATTTTAATATATTGTTTACTTTGATATTTCTTCAGCATGCTTTAAGGCTTATCTCTCATTTATTTATGTGAAGTTTATACCAGCAGCCATGCAATATCAAATTGTTCTTAAGGTGATTGATATGTGATCTTTAGAAATTTGGTAGAAACAGTTTCATTCTCTTATACTCAATATTGTTTAAATTGTGAAATTACTTTCATGCTTTTTTTTTGTCTCTCTATACTTATTATCTTCATCATTGTTTTGATGTTTTGTGATTTTGACCTTTCCTTTCCTTGATTGCTTAGGTATGTTACCTGTTACCAAATTGGACTTTTATTTCTGTAAATGAAATACAAATCAGTTGCTAGCATTTATTGGTTTCATATCTGTATTTGGGCCAAGTTTTAGAAGTTGAAAGATGCCTAACAGTGTTTGTGTTGCTTGGTTTCTTTATTTCTACCCTGTAGACTGAATCTATTATCCAATGTGTTGATTACTAGTTCATGCTTCTTACAGATTAAGTGGTGTCCTACTCCTAGTTGTGATTCTGCTGTGGAATACGTTGTTGGTAGTGGCAGCTATGTTGTCTCTTGCAGTTGTTCATATAGCTTCTGTTGAAACGTGAATTGGGATTTAGATGTATTTAATTTTTATTTTTTATGGGAATTCGTAGCTAAGTATTATGATCTGGTGAATTGTCAGGCATATAAGAAGCGCATCTAGGACTAACGGTCGGCTAGCGCGCTTGGAGGAACGATTTGATCATTTCAAAAATTATGCCTTGACAATCAACAGCTCGAGAGGATGATTGCCTGACCAGACCGCCGCGACCTCAATGGCGAATCTGGTGCGCCACATGTTTGTTGATTTTTGTACTAAGTATTTGAACTTTAATAATTTACGTATTCTACTATTTTAAAATATACGGTTTTTTATGATATCCATCGATTACGGAACTATGTTTATAAATATCGTGTGATTTGATCGTATTTTGTTTATTAGATATTTGACTTGGTATAATTTACTTTTTGGTTTGGATGTGATGCCGAAATATATCATTTGGGACAGGTATGGATAAATCAAAATATAATTTTTGGGGATCAGAAAAATTACTCACAAAAATTATTGTCTGAAACATAAAATCGCAATAGGAAAAATTCTGTGAGTAATTTACTCACTGAATTACTCATGGAATATTTTGTCACAAATATGAGAGTTTTGTTGAGTTTTACTCATGGAATTACTCACATAATTTGTTTTGTAAGTAAATTTACTTACTGACGAAGTGTATGAATAATTATGTGAGCAAATTTATCAGGGACAGAACATGAGTAATGTTGTGAATAATTTACTTACGGAATTATTCATGAATTTTTCTAGTGAGAAATTACTTACAAGGTATATAGTAACAAATTATTCACGGATAAAATTTTGTGAGTAATGCCGTGAGTAATCTTTCGGTGCGTAAAATACAATTTTTTCGCAGTGAAAATAGAGAAGTATTATAGAAAAAAATCAAGCGTAATGAGATGGGATGAGATGCACGGGTGGGGGGAATAATTCACACCGACTTAATTCATCTTTCTGACAAAAAAAAATATTTAGGGGCTCTTTGGTTTAAGGATTTGATGGGATTCCATGGTATTTGGATTTTAAAATCCTATGAAATCCATGTTTGGTTAAGAAAAAGAAGGTGGAATTTAAAATGATGGGATTTAAAAAAGGGGTCTAAAATCCTACAAATAAGAGATTTTTTTGTAATGGAGATACCCCTGTTACTTTTAAATCTCATTTAGGAAATTTTAATTTTTACATTTATATCCTCTTATAAAAAAATAATAGTATTATATTTATATAAAAAATTAAATAATTTTAACATTAATTATTATTTGAATTATATACTTAATTAAATTTATATTATTTTTGTATAATATTTTTTAAATAAATTAATAAATTCATTGTTTAAATTATTATTTATTATAAATTTTATTTGAATTATAAAATTATAGGGACGGCCATAAGTCGGGTTCAGTTGGAACTGATATTCATCCCAAATATATATTGTTAAATCCGAGATTCAAATTGGATCCGATTATACTAGATCCGACCGAGACTATACCCGGTAAGACTTGATGGATCCGAAAAATCAATTTTTTTTACAATTCTTAAATTTTAATTTAAAATTACACATGTACCGGATCCAATGTATATTAAAATCTATGTATTTTATTAGAAAAATATTATAATAAAATAATGAATACGTTAAACTCAAAAAATATTTTTAATATAATTATATTATTCGAAATTATTTTTTGATATATATGGTTGATATATTATTATTATATTACCCTGATCATGATCTGGATTCAGGCCTAATACTTAAATAATTGGACTCAACTTCAAATAAATAGGTCGGGCTCGGTCGGGTCTCGAGTTTACGCGAATCTATTGTCATCCTATAAAATTATTGATATCTTTTCAATTTATATTAATAATGAATTAGATGTTTAATTTGTCAAAATAAATAAAATTCATAAGAGGACAATTATGTCATTTAGAATATAAAAAATTCAAATCCACGAAATATAAATCCCACCACATTTTACCAACCAAACATAATATGGGATTCCAAATCCTAAATATAATAAATCACATCACATATAAATTCTACTGTAAAATCCTAATCCCACAAAAAAAATCCATGAACCCCCTTAATTCATTGTTTTTGCAAAGTACAATATTAATTTTTTTGAAATTTGATTTTTGTTAGAGCACATTGTGCGATGAAAACGAGAACAAAATATATCAATAAAGAACACATGATTCGGTCATTAAAAAATACAATACATATCACTAAGATCATATGTATTTATTTTTTTTCATTATTAAAAAAAGATCATATGACTGCTAACAAAATACATTTAAAATATAGTTTTTTGATATTTCTAAATTAAAGCTCTATATTGACTTTCATATTTATTTTTTGTCCTCAAATTACAAATTTTTAGTAATTAAATTGTAATAAAGGAGATAAAACAAATTTCACAGAAAATATCATGTAGTTTTTGCCCAAGAGAGGAATTTCAATAGCCAATTCATATTGCAATTTTACCCTCATCCTCAATCTCCACTATTCCATTAAAACATAATCCGATGGATTACTTATCAACATGATAATGGTCATCTATAGTAACCGCCGTCGTATAAAAATATCGCTTTTAATAATTATTTAACTTGAAAATTATAATACAAATTCTAGATAACAAACTATGGGTAAACATGTTTGGACAGTACCAAATCAATAATTCTAAAAAAACGATTTCAATTCAAAATATAACAATATGTACAAACCATAAGTGAAATCAAATTTTAAAAAGTTAGGTTTTAATTCCAATTTCGTGAAACCATGAACTGTTCATGCAATTGTGGACAAAATGTAAGTAAAATCAATTTTATAAAATTCGTACGTAACAATTACAATTGGAACTACTTATGATATATACATGATCAAGGTTCACATCAAGATAAAATATATAAAGATGATATTAAGTGTATTTACTATTAAAAATAAACAGTCAAACTCTACCATATAAACATAAGTAATCAAATGGAATAAAATTGCTAATTCCCTTGCTTGAGGCTAGGTCCTGAATTCGATCTCGATGAATGTGTGTGTGGTTGAATTGGGACAAATCCCGGTCGGATGCATAGTGTGCGCATGTGTGAGTAAAAAAGATTGAAAAAAAAAAAATGAAAGGATAAAATACATATTCATAATAACTTACTAGTACACATTCACTATTGATATGAGTATTTCATCAGAAAATCATGTATCTAAGTTTAATATTTTATTCAAATACATATATATATATATATTCCCTCAAATTTTTTATTCACTTTCTTTTCAATAATATTAATATTTCGTGATTTCATTAACTTTATTCTTGAGTTTTCTTTGAGAGGAAATTTATAGAATGGTTTCGTTGATTGACAAATTTTCTAAAGCGTTAGTAGAAAAAGACATCAAAGTATATAAATTCACCCTATTTTGAAAAATAAGATTGTCCAAGTCATTTTCACTAATTAAATATTTGTGTTTTCTAATATCGGTCTCAGTTGAATATCAATATTTTTTTACAGTTGTTTGATCATTACCATAAAATATCACAATTTGTTCATAATTTGAAAAGGATGTATTTCTCCAAAATGTAGCTTTTGATTTTGCTTCCAAATAAAAAATCATACGGTTAAACTTAGAAATTTAACAATAAATAGTAAATTTTAGATATAAAATTTGAAGTTGATTTTTCTATCCTGGGAAATGAATTCCTAAGCTATTACAACAAAAGGATACGAGGAAAATAAAATTGCGCAGAAAATGAAGCTGTGATTCGCAATAAATTCCTCAAGAATTTGCATGTGATTCAAGATGAAAATTTGTCTGATTCAGATATGGTATTTATAGAAGATTGGTGGAGCAGTTAGAATCGGTTATTGCATCATGGATGATTTCTGGATGATATTGTTGGGGGTGCAAATCCAAATCTCACCTCGGAAGTTGTGAAGAAAATTTCACACTTTATTAGTCCTAAGTGAACTCCGCTAGAATGAGGCTTTTTGGAGGATATCCAAAAATAAATCCGTGCGGCTCAGCCCAAAGCGGACAATATTATACTAGTGTTGAGTTGACTCACCCTCGTGACTTGCGGATGTGCCTTGTTGGGGTGCAAACCCAAGTCCCACATCGGAAGTTGTGGATGATATCCAAAAATAAAACCATGCAGAATCATACTAGTGTTGAGTTGACCTACCCTCATGACCTGCGGAGCCTTGTGTCGAAAGTTTCCCGATGGTGTTGGGTTAGTGCAAACCCAAGTCCCACATTTCCTAGAACGAGGCCTATTGTCGATTGAAAATGCAATTTACAATTGGTTAGAAAAACCGTTTCTGAAACCATATGCTCATCGGAGCTAGAAATCGGTTCAAATGTACTCTTCTATCTACCATTTATTTTGGTTTGGCACAGTAAATTTATTTAATTTTAAATTAAAATACATTTCATTTATTTTTTTCTAACTTTATTGATACTTTTTCCTTTTCTTATTAATACAATCACTATATTTTTCACAATATTCTTATTTTATACACAAATAATTTATAATCAATTAATATAAAATTATATTAATTAAAAATTGTGTCAAAATTCTTTTGGTAGGAGAGAATATAATCGAATCTGTATGAAATATTTATATCTAGATTATTAATTAAGGCACGTGTAATGCATGATCCATATACTTAGCCGAAAAAGAAACAAAAGGAATATCTGAGGTTGTAAGTTGGCGGCCTAATCGACGGCCCACAGTCAGAGACGAATATTTCAGTAAGCAATTATGCCATTTCAGACAATTTTATTTATGCAGTTATAACTCTAAAAATACAGTTGTTATAATCATTTAGCTCCGACCCACAACTTTATTTTCAATTTGAATATTCTCTAAATATTCTATTTTATATATTATTTTAAATAATTTTTTATATTAAAAAAATATAAATATACACAATTAAAATATAAAATATTACAAATTTGTCATTGTAGGGACCAATTTACAATTTGTGACAATTAAAAAAAAATAAAAAGAACATCATAATTGATATTTTTACAGTGCAACACCAAAAATTATATTGCACTATTCCTCAGTAAACTCCCTCACTGTCTTCCATTTGACAACAAGGATTCACTATTCCTTCTTTTTACTTGTGCTCGTAACCTTTTGGCATGATAATTAATATAAATATCTCATCAGTCTCAACTTTCTTGGCTATTTAATTAAATATGTAAAAAAGAAATAAATAATTTTGTATTATATTTTATTTGATTAATTTATTTAAATTTAAAAAATAAATAAATAATAAGATAAAATAATTTGTTGCAACTGAATGCAACGTCCAGAAGTTGAAAGATTTTTTCTCTTTGTATGATTAGA